ATCTTATCGACCAAGTTGTAATGTGTCTAGTAGTCTAGGTGACTCAACATTGCGCTTACTATCTTGAGATAAGATGGTGGTTGGAGGCAGTTGACTGGAAACCCTAGACCTAGGTTTCGTGTTATTTGAAACACGTTTGTAAGTTGTACCTGTAATCTTGAGGGAACTGATACTCCCTAATTGATTCAATCCCGTGTCACACAGCTTCACAGTCTGACATGTTATCAATAGGCTATCACGGATGTGATTCACCTATCCAATGAAGCAATAGCTTAAGCTACTACCCTACAATCACCAAGTTATTTCACATGTTTACTCAGTTAACAAATTTCAAATGACATGAATTATGATTTTCTTATAGTTAACCATTAATCCCTATCCATTATACAAACAAATTTGGATTTACATATGAGATAGAAGTATGAACTCGAAAAGATCAACATATAAACGAGTACTGATCTATTTCAGTCTTGAATGTCAACAACGGGTAAATATAATACTTAAACAATTGAAAATATGATTATTTGATCATATTGTGGTGTATGCTACTGATGTCGACAGTTACAAATAGTATGTATCAATAATCGAAAGGGAAATGTCTGGTGGTAGCAGAAGATTAAAAAGATCGACAAGAAGAGAAGAGAAGAGAATAAGAACAAAGAATGATTGTTGTGGAACTGAAGGAAGAATGAAGACGATTGATTGACATTTTCCAACTGAACTATTTACTGTATGATCCTCAGATTTCACTAAGAGATTCTGTAATTTTGTGTCCATATACATTTGGTTGTCCCTACTGGTGTTCTAGTTCACTATAGTTGTATACATGTCGAATGTTTGTGGAATTCATTACCAGATCCAAAAAAGATTACAATAAGCATTCTATTTGAATGGAGATGATCTTGTTTTATGGTTTAAATGAAGAACCGATTTTAGTTCAACTACGAAATAAACTCATGGAACTATTCATAGTGAACTTCTTAGAACTGAGGATTCATTGAATTTATTTGGAATCTTCAAACTAATCGTCGAATACTGAATGTTTCTATAAAGCTTCTATCCAATATTGATTGAATAGTGTTTATCGACATTTTCTGAATTGTTTGAATGACTTTTCCATGGAATACGTTGGAACTTCTCAACGAAATTCTTATATCACAGTTTGATTTTATGTATGTAAACTAAATATCAATAAACAAAGATGGATGATGGCTAGCAAAGGAATCCGAAACACATGTTTCGTGTTATCTGTGACTCGTCAGCTGAATGTACCTGCATTCCAGAATCCGGCTCAGTAACTAAATGAATATCGAGATAGTATTTGAAGCTAACGTTACTGGGTTAGAATCCTGGAGTGAACATCAACTGACAGCAGCTGACGAGTTCCGAATAGGACGGTACACTATATGATTCTTAGATTTTACTAAGATTTCATTATCCTCACTTGTATATTCTCATTCATTATAGTCTTACTTAATAGTATAATGTGAAGTATACCCTACTTATATACAAACACTTTTGTCAATACTACTTATTACATATAAGTATGATTTATCTGGCTAAAATCTAGAACGGAAATGAATAGGAAATATCATTATCCTATTGTCCTTTTTTTTATAACTAAGTAAGTATTTCTCATAAAATTTATCAAAACTGTAAAAAAGAAAAGAAAGAAAAAGAAAGAAGAAGAGAAAGAAAAAGAAAAAAGAGAATATTCAATTGAAACCGAATCTAAGTGGTAGTCCAATCTAATGAAAAACCTTTACCGTTTTTATTTTCTCTTTTTTATTCTTCTCTATTTTAGAAAATTTTAATAAATGAAAAATGAATTCTCTCAACAACAACAAAAAAGAAAACTCTGGTTTATATGGGTTGAATAGATAAATAAGGTTTAGACTAGAATATTGGGTTGTCTAATATCGTTTGATTTAAAATGTTTTATGAATAGTTGAATTCATGAGTTGATTTCAATTAGACGATTATTGAAAATTTGGTGCCGTTGGCAACATATTTCGTCTTAGTAGCCTATTAAATGCCGTGGTACAGCCGAGAGTGGGGAGAGTCAGCTCCCTCTTTCTCTCTTTCTCTAAATGCTCTTACATAGCCACGTACATATAACCACCGCCAGGGAGATGCTACTACTACTCACTGCCTTCTTGAGGGATTACTGTTGTTTACGAAATCGAGAAGATGAAAAACAAATTTCCGGTAGGGGCTTTAATCGGGTCGTTGGAAACGGAGAGTGTACCTAGAGGAGTTGAAAAACCCTCATTCCAAACCAATGGTATACATGTAATCCAGTATCCTGAATGATTAAATGGTGTATGAACCAATTTTTGGTCCCCCACTACCATTGAACTGCAGTTTCTGACGTTGCTCAATTGCCTTATGAATAAGACCTTGGGTGTGCTCCCCCGAAGAAAACCACCGTCTTCGGTTTGGGCACCCGGGCAGTACCTCAGCCCTCACATATATCGAACGATTTATGTGGCGCATATCTGTTTAGTGTATCCTTGCACCAATGTTTATGTGTTTAAACAATAATAATAAATAATATCGTTATAGTATAGGACTCCTCGAAGTGTTCATCTACGATCCTGCACATGAAATTGGAATTCAGAACTGTCACTTTCGTGTGTGAACGCATAACTATGTAAGCTACTGCAGTAACATACAACGGTGTTATTGATTAACTTCAATCGATTTACGATCTTGTGTAATCCTCCATCTATTGTCTGAGGTAGATTGGACTCTATTGTTCACGGCTTAGATCGGCACATGAATTCAACTATTAAAATTACTACAATTTTCACAAATCCCCCATTCTGATAGTAAAATATAACTGTTTATTTAAAGCACTGTTTTAATAGGATGATATCTGAATAAAACACTGTGAGGATGGTCAATGGGTGAACTCAAGGAATCTGTAAGAAGCTTAGAAAGAGCCAAAGATATTTCATCCAATCACTTTTTGGCAGAATAGTCCCGAATAAGACTGTACGCGCATCAAACTGGATTCCACTGATAGTCACTATCTATTTTTTTGCCTGAAGACAATATCGACACAATCCGTACAAGATGAAGATATGCTAACATGAGACTGATCAATTGCAATTCTAAATAACAATACGAAGATAGATAATTAATCATCATTGTATAAGTTATTTTTATTTTAGTGGTTTTATATCGTTCAATATTGATTTGAACACAATTTATCTGAAATAAAATTTGATTTTAATTTTCAATTGTTGCTATGACAACATAGAACCCTGTCGAAATATATCGATTTTTATAAACATATTAATCATCATTGAAATAATTCTAATATGAATAGAGTATAGTGATCAATTGGATCCTATTTGAATTGTAAATAAGATTAAGAATATATATATATATACATCAATAGTAAGTGTCTTTGGGCAGAATATTCAGGGGGAATCATAATTATAATTCATTATATTTTCATTCCAAATGTAGAATATGATAAATGGGAAAATTTGAAGAAGAAGAAGAAGAAGAAGTAAAAGAAGAAGAAAATAGAAGAAAAAACGATGTATCTTTTAATGTGAATAGATTTGTACAGATAAAAATAGTAAGATCCCAAAAGTTTTCGGTTTGGGATCATGGTAATTGTTAAGTTTTTTTTATTGAGATCGTGAATCGATCAATGTTAGACTATCATCGATTGATTGATTGATTGATTGATTGAAATTATATATTGACACTTGGATACCGGTTTAGTGGTTTAGAGATTAAGGGTTTATAGGTGAGATTGAAGATCTCTAATTCGAGTCTTACATGTGGGATCATCAATGCTTGATGTTTACCAGTTCTATACTAGGAAAAGTTTATCGTCCACTGCTTTCAGCTTTTCAATCGTGATCTAACATTCATCCATTGATGATATCAATGGAAACTCAACAATCTCAACAATCCTATACTGATAATTACGATTGGCTCACTAGTGGTTAGCTCGAAGATGAATGTGATGGAGTCAATCTGGTGAGAAGCCGTGACCAGTGTTTGTTATGAAACAATTATTGACTGAATATAATGGTGGACAGTGGTGCAATATGAAGGAATGGTGGAAGTTAGACATTTACACGGTGAGTTGTAGGCTCGGTGGTCTACAGGTTAAGTTCAAGTCCCACGTGAGGAATCATCAGTCACATACTACGACTAGTTCTTGCTTTTCAATGGTTGTCTAACATTGATCGATTCATGATCTTAATCGAAAATATCTGAGATAGAATGTAACTTAAAAACGAAAGCGATTACAAAACAACTCATTTTTATTCAAATGGGAATCTTCAAGCCCAAAGAAGAAGAGGCATATCAAAAAAACAAATTACACTGAGAAATAAAGACAGAAATGAGAAGAATGAACAATAATTGGATAGAACTAAAAAGAAAGACCCAAGACAGAGTGGGTTGGAGAATGCTAGTTGGCAACGTATGCCCGACTGGGAGTAACAGGTATAAGTAAATAAGTAACTTAATAAGAGCTTTTGACATTGAATTTTGTGAGTTTTGTTTTTCATTTTGAAACAAGTCATTCTAGATACTTTAGATCTTACAAAGAACTCTTAACTTCTTGACTATTAAGTTTAAGTGGTCTTGAGTGATGCTTTTCGAGTGTCGTCTTCCCTTAAACTATGATATTTAAACTGCTTTATATCTTTCATTCTTCCTGTGCTATATCCTTATATTCAGTCTTTCTTTTATACATTACCATTGGAGTGACTACCTCTATGAATCAGGTATTCATCTTGTTGTGCTAAAGAAATATGACAACTTGGAACGATGCACATTTATGCCTGATCTTACGTTGTAGCTAATTGATTGACTGGCTGATGGTTTATATTTCTAATTTCAATGAATCAATAATATTATCACCAATTATAATCGATAATATTTACCATAATGATTGATGATTAATCAATAAAATCGATGAAACATATGAATTACATGAATTACAATAGAAAGCTAAGATAACTTACTTTATTTGTACGTGTATGTGTATATGTGTTTGTTTGACAAAATCGAACATTGAATCATGTTCAAAGAGAAAGACAATAGAATCTAAAATGAAAAAAGAAAAAGAAAAGTGACGTGTCGGTTATTATGTTAAGCCCATATACCTTATTCTAGCTTTCGGATAGCCCAATCTATTCATTCTACTTGAGTTACATTCTGGCCTTGTTATTTATTCGCTTATCAATCTTCACTGTTTTTATATGATCACGTAGGTATGTGTACATCTCTTATCCCATTACTCATCACATGTCTGTAACTTACTTTTGTGTAACTATAACTATTAATTAACGTTTGGTTAAACGGGAGTTAGCTTACCAGCCATCTCCACTGTGCGTCGTTCCGCTTCTCTCTATTCTATTCGCTTCATACACAAAATATATGTATTCACAAATCCATTCTCGTTATTCGACTTATTTAATTCCGTTATTGACTAACGCGATTAAAGTCGATGATTATATACGAGGATAGGCGACATATATATTTTAACAACAATCATCATTACAATCTCTTTGTAGTCAGATCCACGAACCATTAAAGTGGAGAGCCCTTTCGACAACATCGTTTGATCTAAATGACGATCAAATTACGAGCCTCACAAAAGAATAATGTGGTAAGTTGACAATTATGCCTGTAATAAGTAAAAGTATAAGTATAAGAGAGAGAGTTTAGAATCAATTCAGATGATTCTTCAACGATAGATTACTCAACCTATAAATTGTCAAAAACAAAATCACTTATAAGTTTGTTCTAATGGATATAGACTGTTTATTATGTTCAACTCTTAGAATAATCCTGGAAGATATTTTAAAGTCCTAGATGGATTTAAGCTTAAGAGTTTAAAAGATGAGACTATAATTCATGGGTGACCATTGAGAAATGCTTAAGTGAACTTGAGAATATCCATCTACTAAATAACACTAAAAAAGGGTTATAAACCAGTGTAATGAGTTAGATTTATGATATACAGTTGATGGTTAGGGTAAGGGATTCAATCTAGAGTTTTCATCACGAACTGACGCCATGTATGGATGGATTTAGAGCCGAAATTCAAGACCTATTATCTTATATCTGCTTAGTTCGTCTATACAGTATAATCTCACGGTTTGCGATTAAGGTTTTTTTTATAAACTAATGTTAGTTATCATGTAAGAACGTTTTGTAGCAATATGGATGAATGAATTTCGCTGAAAAATATAAAGAGATCCATCTAATTGGTTTGTTCATAAAGTTTACTACTACTGCTTGCTTATTTACTTACTCACTGATCTAGAAATTAAACATTCACATGCGAGATCAAGTGTCCTTGGTTCGAGTCCTACATGCGGAATCGTGAATGTGCACTATTGAGGAGTCCTATACTAGGACAAAACGGCCAGTTCCAGGTTTTCAATGGTAGTTTAGCTTACATTAACTCATGAATCCAACTGTGAAAAACATTCAAACAAGTGCATCCCGCTGACGAGTCCCAAATAGGACGAAACTCAAAGTGTATTCCACTAATAGCCACTATCTATCTTTGCTTAATTTCTTTTTGTTTCCATTTTCTTTTATTCTTCTCTATTCTATTTTCATTTATAGTTGTTGCTTTGTCTTCGTCACTTCCAAAAATACACACATACACACACACGCCTTATTCAATTAGGAAATTTCAATAGAAACTTAGTAACAAAAAGAAATTAATAATAATTTAATTAAAATTGGCTTTCATGAATGTTATATACAATAGTAGATAGTGAGATAGACACATACACACACAAGCACATATACACATACATAAACAACCAATGCGAGACCAATCACCAGATAACCAGATATATATATAACACACATAATTACACATATGAGGAGAATAAATCGTTTGCACCTTCTTGCACACTTCCCCCCCCACACACACACACATTTTGATGGAGTTTTGTTCTCTGAATTGGATAGTTTGGTCGTAGAGCTTTCATCGTTCTACTGAACGACATTATCATCAGCATCTACTTGAACTACAAACTTTCTCCACCGTCTCAATAACAATAGTAATAATAATAGTAGTACTGTAATCCACATTAAGTTTTAGTCTTAATTAGTTGTGTTCTTTAACTATTATTATCAGTAGTATCTTGATAGTTTATAATAGAGAAAAGAAAAAATTAATTTCGTCTTTGTTTGTACGAATCTCTTCAGTTAATTAATTTCTTTTCAAATTCATAAGAGAAAAATAAAAGAGTTTTGTCTTTTTTTTTTAAAAAAAAAAGAGAAAGAACAATATGGTTTTTGTGTGCCAAATTTTTTCTTCTAATTTGATTTTCTTTTTTTATTGTTTCTTTCTTTTTTTTAATTTTCTTTTCTCTCTTTCATTGAAATGATGAAATGATAACAATTAAGAGTAAACAGTATGAAGGGATAGTTTAGATGAAGTGAACACTAGATTTTTTTCTTTTATTTTGTCAGTATGAGGTTGTGAAGATTGAGATTATGAATTGATTGATCTTAGATCACTATTGAGAACCTGGGAATACTGGACGGTCGTTTTGTTCCATAGGGATAATTACTAATTGCTCACTAATGACTAGCTTCGTGAGAGAATTCATGAAGTTCTAATAAGAAGCCGTGAGCAGTGGAGCTAATCCATGTCAGGTAGAGACAAGTATCTACCTCAGTACAATGGGGGATGGTTGCACAATTTTATGGATTGGTTGAAGTTAGACATTAGTACCGTTAGATGTCGGATCAATGATCTAAATTTTAAGCGTTCGCATGCGAAACCCAAGGCCCCCGGTTGAAATCCCGTGAGCTGGATCATGAATATGCACTACTGAGGAGTCCTGCAACAAGACGAAATGGCCATCCAGTGTTTCTATGCTTTATTTCGTGATGGTTCTTGAAGCAAATAACATTGAGCTCAAGTTTCGATGTGAATATGATCAAGTATATTCAAATGATAACTAGTCCTAAATATAATTAAAAATATATTCTGGATCACACTAGTGTACAAAATCGAAGATCGTGGGTTCGAGTCTTGCATGTGGGATCGTGGATACGTACTGCTTAAGAGGACGAAACAACTGTTCAGTGTTTCCAAGTTTTTCAATCGTAGTCTAACTTAGATGAACTCATGAATTCAACGCTTACAGAATATGATAGAATTTTCGTTTTTATTTGACAATCATTTAATGTTATCATGCTTACTAGAATACTTGGAAGGTGATGGCATGATCCCATGTCAGGTTTTAGGTATATACTACTAACAAGTTTTAAACTAGCTATCGATTACTTCTTGGTCCTTTTGAAACATCTTAACAAAATGATATCAGATATTATTAATCCTGTACTATATAGTGATTAACTTCAGGATATAACTGTACTGAATGAGAACACAAGTGGGGACAGTCAGATTTAATTGAATACAAAATTACAGAATCGCTTACTAGAATTTGAGAATCATATAGTAAATACTTCTCAATCAATCGTCTCAGACTTCAGTGTTTCTTCGCTTCCACAGTAATCATTCTCTGTTCTTGTTCTTTTTCCTTTGATCTTTTTAACCTTCTGACAACCAGGCATTTTCCTTTTCGATTGTTGATACATACTACTTATATCTATCGACATTAGTAGCACACACGACATTATGACTGATGGAATACAACCATGTCCTGAATGTGACATTCATTACTGAATGCTTGTTATATTATACTGTGATCGAACTCAAGTCCAAAATGTAAACTCATTAATATAGAAAATATCCCTTCGAATTGAATGTGTGTTTAGGATTTGATGCTATCTTGTCCCATAATATGAAGAAACTGTAGTCTAGTACTTTCTAGTTCCTAATAATTATTCATCATGTCCGTCATGCAAGCTGAAACGTTTTGGTGTCTGTTTAGTAACGTGATTGTTATGGTGTAATACTTACTACTAACAAAATTATGATTTAATTTTAAACTTTTTCAAAGGTTAACTGGATAGTTTATGAATACTCAGCAGTGCTTATCGATGACCCTAATCACAAGGGAATTATATCTAAGACTTTTGATCTAACATGCAACTGCCCAGTTTGTAAACTACTTAGCTGAAATTCAAAAGTTTTAATGTTTAATTTTAGTCAATTCATTATATTGTGTGATTATCTTTCATTAAGTAAGATGGATAACCTTTTTTACATGTGACATGAATAAACTTCACTGGTCACACTTTCTGACTGGAACACCGAGAGTTTATCTATTTAGATATTTGAACATAAAAATATTGTTACAAATGGGCACCGAATACATATGCACCACACAACTCAGTTGATTTGTGTGTGGGCTTGGGTACTACCAGGGTGTCCAAACCGAAACAGGTGGTTTTCTTAAAGGACCACACCCGGAGCCTTAGACATAAAGGTCTGATCCACAAGTTAGTGTAGCACCTTTAATAGATTCAATTCCATGATATTCGGTGACCGACGATTGATTCATACACCATTTGTTCCTTCAGGAAACTGGAGTACATGTATACCATTGGTTTGGAACGAGGGTTTTCCAACTCCACTAGGTAGACTCGCCGTGTTCATCAAGCTGATTAAGGCTCCTATCAGACATTCAATTTTCCTCTTCTCAATTTCGTAAACAGCACCTACTTCGTGAGTAGGTAGTGAGTAGGGCTTGCGTGGCAGTGGCTCTATACGCGTGGCCATGTGAGAGCATTTGGATTGGGAGGGCTGACTCTCCCCACCCTCGGCAGTACCAGGGAATTTGGGGGATAGGAGTTACATCTAGAGGCTAGTCACTAGTGAACACACGATTATTAACAGTTTATGGTTTTGTTGAGATTGTGAAGTTTTCATCGTTTATATCATGAACTGATCATAGTTAGAGCACAATTGAAAGCCAGAAAATACTGGACAACTGTCTCGTTCTATTTTGGGTTTAAATCAAAAAATTTCGTAATAAAAAGCTCGCATATCGCTTTAGTGATCTAGATTTTAAGTGTTCGTAAATGTGACTGAAGGTCCTGGATCTTATTACCGATGGCAGGTTTGTGAATGCATACTCATTATTAGTACTATAGTAGTAACG